AAGAGCTGCTCTGTGCACACACACACACACAACACACACACTGAGCAGCTGACCATCATTAACACTCATCATGTCCACACACTGAAGACACTGAGAGAGGTCTGTATAGATCATTATTCTCTCATCAAGCACTGCAGAATCATCATGTACACCTCCAGGAGTGTGTGTGTGTGTGTGTGTGTGTGAGAGTGAGTGTGTGTGTGTGTGTGTGTGTGTGTGTGTGTTTTGTCTTCAGTGTTTCTTTACTGTGTGTTTGTGCACTGTGATGTTCTGCAGAAGAGTGTGTGTGAGCTTCACTCTGGTCTCGCTCTCATCATCTACACAGTGTATAAGCGACTACACTGTAGTGGGCAGGCATCGGTGGCAGAGTCTGACTGTATGATAATCTTGGATAATAATATGACAGTGTTCTGATTACTCCTAAATAAGTTCTTCTTAAATGTCTGAGTCAGTCGTCTGTATTCCCTGAGTGAACAGGAGATATTTGATTAGAGGAGACCTGTAGAATAAACTCGGGCTGCTCTTAAACCACCGTCAACCTGGAAACCAGTTATCATCCATATATCTGAACTGAGATGTGTTCACGATATAGAAGCTGAACCAAAACCAGCAAAACCAGCCCGTTCATAAACAGAGTGAGAATACACACTCATCTAGTGATGGAGACGTGGACACACTCCACTGAGCACAGACACACTCCAGCAGACGCTCGCATACATGATGACCAATCACAAATACACCAGCAACGATCAGAGGAGCAGCTCGGTGCCTCACAGCAAGAAGGTCTCTGGTTTGAGTCCTGTCTGGCTCAGTTGGTGTTTCTGTGTGGAGTTTGCATGTTCTCCCCGTGTTGGTGTGGGTTTCCCCCGGGTGCTCCGGTTTCCCCCACAGTCCAAACACATGCGCTATAGGGGAACTGATCAACTACACTGACACTAGTGTATGAGTGAATGGGTGGGTCTTTTTCCAGTACTGGGTTGCAGCTGGAAGAGCATCCGCTGGGTAAAACATATGCTGGAAGAGTTGTCGGTTCATTCCGCTGTGGTGACCCTGATGAATAATGGACTAAGCTGAAGGGAATGACTGGCTGATGGTCAGATGTTGTGTGTGTGTGTGTGTGTGTGTGTTGAGTAAAGCTGCCGTCCGGCTCCAGACTCCAGCAGAGGGTCAGTCAGTGACTCTCACACTGCTCTCCTTCTCCTCATTATTAGATTTACACACACACACACACACACACACACACACACACTGTCAATATTACAGCTGTTTCCACAGTAACACACACACTCACTGTGAGGTCAGGTTTCTGAATGTGTGTGTGTGTATTTAACTTTGTGACTTTGTGTTTGTTCGTTCAGTGTGTGTGTGTGTGTGTGTGTGTGTGTGTCTGTGTGTGTGTGTGTGGAGTCAGCATCATGTGCTCAGTGTTCAGCATCAGCCTGTTCATACAAATACAATGTGTGCATATAAACTCTAATCACATTATGAGTGTGTGAGTGCAGACACACACACACACACACACACACATGGCTGATGACATCACACTACTGCCATTATCACACAGATACACACTGGTATAATTGGGAAGTGTGTGTGTGCGTGCGTGTGTGTGTGCGCGTGTGTGTGTGTGTGTGTGTGTGTGTGTGTCTGCTGCCCCTCGGTGGATGAATGAGAGAAGCAGAAGGTCTCTGACATTATACCTGAAGCAGTCACTCAGTATAGATGAATTAGTGGTGTGTAAACACTCGGTATGCGCCCGCAAAGAGGTTGCAGAAAAAGCCAGGAGTGCTAGCATTAACAGCGAGGGGATGACATCTGATGCGGTGCAGAGTTTGCTGTTGTATTACAGATGAGTTATATTGATGACATTATTATATCTACTATTGACACAATGCTTTCAGTGTAATATAGCAGCTCGTCACTCAGTGATAAGCTCAGTTACTCTGCTAGATTAATGTTACAGTGAGCGGCGTTCATCTGACAGCTCTATTAGCGACAGCACTCTCACAATGAACGCTGGAGACGAGGAAATGGCCGAGCATCCAGCCCCAAACACACAGCTCTCTCACTGACACTCCACGTGTTTTTGAAGCTCTACAAGTCTTCAGGTGTCCACATTGTTGTTCTGTGTGGTGATGTGCTGGACATAATGCTCCATGATGAGCACATTCAACACCAGAGACGAGGGAAGCAGACGGAGCTGTACAAGGCCTGGCTCATCATCAACCAGCAGAACCACTGCGTCCTGACAGCCAACTGCTCCTGTACAGCAGCGTGTGTGAACACATGTCTACAGTTCACTCTGAGCATTCTGCAGTTTAATTCACCATGTTGAACTGCTGCAATCATAAGTGAAGTTTAGTTTTAAACTAATTTGGAGAGGAGCATGTGCTCATGATTGACCCAGCTGGTCCACATTAACTAATTATGATCCTCCAATCAAAGGATCCCAAACCACTATATTTATCCTCATTTCCTTTCTACAACTATCTTCGTCTGGAAGAAACCCCCCTCCTCCCCTTCTTCCTCCTTTATCCAGAATGGGCGGCACGGTGGCCCAGTGACTAGCACTGTTGCCTCACAGCAAGAATACCAATGGTGTTGGGTCCTCGCTGAGCCATCTGGTATTTCTGTGTGGAGTTTGCATGTTCTCCCCGTGTCTGCGTGGGTTTCCCCCGGGTTCCCCGGTTTCCTCCCACCATCCAAATGTGCTCTATATTATAGATAAAACAAGCCTAAACCTTTTTTATAATGTCTTACTCTCAGGAAGTTCGCCTTGGCCTCAGCAGCGGGGGAGTTTGAGATAGACCTGAGCTCAATCTCCACTCGCCCTGCAAAAGGGGGGGAGCCCTGGGCTCGAGGATCCCTTGAGCTCAGGGCTCTCTCCCGGGACAGCATGCCAAACAAGCTATGTATAAATCATGAGCTAAGTGTGAACTCTTGAAATGAGTGATGTGTCTGATTCAGAGCGTCAGCTTCCCTGATATAACAGGAGAACTGCAGAGTCCTGTGTTATTACCGCTATTCAGCTCCCTATTAGCCAGAGACGTCTGCGGTTGGCATTAAAGCAGTGTGGTGTACGCTAAAAGTCAAGTTTTCTATTCTCAGACTTTTGATTTTGGCATCCTACCGCACAACCCCACATGTTCACTATTGCAGCCGCTCTCTTTCTGCAACCGAGTGACGTCATGTGAGACGCAGGCTGGTCATTCCCCTATACAAAGATTGAATGATGTTCATGTCACTGACAGGCAGTGCTGTAAAGTAACTAATTACAAACACTCAAATGACTAATTGAGTAGTTTTTCCTCAGGAATTGTACTTTACTCAGTAGTTTTATAAATGTGTGCTTTTACTTACTGTTGAGCACATGTTTACTGCAGTATCTGTATATACTCCACTACTGTCCTTCAGCCTGCATCACTACTGTATTATCTCCTGTCTATGGGGATTAGAGAAATCAGGGCTGTGATTCCTGTCCAATCAGATCACACACAGAAGGTAAATCTCATCATAACTACCTCAACACATGGGCGACTTCATTGCAGCAAACTGAAGCATTAAAAGTGGAAAGATCCTCACATGCACTGACCCAGACACTGTTCAGCTGCAGGTTAGTGACAACCTCAACATGACGTCAGATTGACGCTGTACACTAATGTCGCGGGGACGTTCCATTGTGTTTGGAAGAGAAAATCTGGTTGACTTCAGAGCCCAACATCAGTTCAACGCCAGTGTCTAACCTAAAATCAACCAAATATCAACGTCTAATGATGTCACAGCTTAATGTTGTGTGGATGTTATCACTACGACGTATCAGATGTTGGATTTTGGTTGCCACACCTGATGAATCAATGTAAATGTTTGACGTCAGTATGACTCTGGTTTAAGATGTTGGCCCAACGGTGAATTTTAGTCACTTTCTAACAACCTAAAATCAACCAAATATCAACGTCATTTGACGTCATTATTGAACATCAGAATAACACTGTCTTTAGACGCTGGCTAGACTGGCTAGAATTGAATTGTGGTCACCTGACATCACAACCTAAATCTGACCTAATGTTAACGTCTTATGACATTGTGTGCCTGCTGGACAGTAACTAAATGCACTACAGAATATTACGTTTACACACACACATGCACTAATGACATGTAAACACATCATCTTTACACTACATTGAAGCCTATTGACTCAATCTATAAACAAGCAGTTAAGATTATGGACTTAAAGCCTATGCGATGGCATCATTGTGATGTTTTATGTAAACATAACCTGTTTAATTTTGATAGTTTTATTCATTTTAGTTATCTTAAATTGGTTTTTAAATGTTTAAATAATCATGTTCCAATCCTGTTCACTAAGCTAATCAATCGGCATCAAACCTCCCACAGAGTTACACGGGCAACTGCTAACGGTGACTGTCTAGTGCCGAAGTGTAAGACCTCGTTTGGTCAGTCTGTCTTCTCTGTAAAGGGAGCCAAACTGTGGAATGAGTTACCGGTTAGCTTAAAATCAGAAAGTAATCTAAATATTTTAGTAATGCTCTTAAAAAGTGGTTAAAAACAAAACAGCAGGGTTTGCACTAATAGTCCACTGTTAGTTGGTTGGATCATGTCGCCTTTGCTTTTGCCTGCAGTAATTTTATGTAAAGAATTGTAATGTTGTGTATGTGTTATTATATTTCTATTTTGTCAATATTAAGCCTCCTGTGGACAGGTGTTGAAAATTAGCAAGTTTGCTAAAACACATAAACAAATGCATTTGCTTGTCCAGTGTAATTGTGATGTCCATGTCAAATAAATAAATAAATAAATAAAAACACAGCGTAATACTCACTACTCATGAGGACTTTTAAAAGGGCTACTGTTTACTCATACTCTGAGTAATATCAGACACTTTTACTCTACTGGACTATGTTTACAGGCGAGTAATGCTGCTTTTACTGGAGTCTGATTTACTGTACTCTTCACACCACTGCTGACAGATGAAGACCGCT